GTTAATGAAATTCAAAATGTAATTAAGTCCTTACCTACAAAGAAGAGACCAGGCCCAGATGGATTCACTGCAGAATTCTACAAGAAATACAAAGAAGACCTAATGCCGACACTCCTCAAACTATTCAATGAAATTGAAAGGGAAGCAATCCTTCCTAAGTCATTCCTGGGAGCAAATATTACTCTAGTTCCAAAACCTGAGAAAGACCCAACTAAAAAAGAGAACTATAGACCGATCTCCCTAATGAACACAGATGCAAAAATCCTCAATAAAATATTGGCAAATAGGATGCAGCAAATCATCAAGAAGATTATACACCATGACCCAGTGGGATTCATCCCAGGAATGCAAGGATGGTTCAACATACGTAAATCAATAAATGTAATCCACCATATCAATAAAGGCAAAAGTAAGAATCACATGATCATTTCTATAGATGCAGAAAAAGCCTTCGATAAGGTCCAACATTTATTCATGATAAGAACTTTACAGAAAATTGGAATAGATGGTCTTTACCTCAATATAATAAAGGCCATTTATGACAAACCAACAGCCAGCATCATACTAAATGGCCAAAAATTGAAAGCCTTTACTTTAAAATCAGGCACAAGACAAGGATGTCCTTTATCACCACTCTTATTTAATATAGTACTGGAAGTACTAGCCAGAGCAATTAGGCAAGAGAGAGAAATAAAAGGGGTAAAGATAGGAAAAGAAGAAGTTAAATTATCATTGTTTGCAGATGACATGATACTCTACATAGAACTAAACTCCATTGAAAGACTCTTAATACAATAAATAAATTCAGTAATTTGGCTGGATACAAAATCAATACTCAGAAATCAATAGCATTCCTATACACGAACAACAAAATCACAGAGAGGGAAATAAGAGAAACTAGACTCTTCACATTAGCAAGCAAAAAAATGAAATATTTAGGAATTACTCTTACGAAAGAAGTGAAAGACTTATACAGTGAAAATTATAATACACTGAAAAAAGAAATTGAAGAGGATCTCAGAAAATGGGAAGACATCCCTTGCTCATGGATAGGAAGAAAAAACATTGTGAAAATGGCCATTCTCCCAAAACTGTTATACAGATTCAATGCAATCCCAATAAAAATACTATCAACATACCTTATAGATCTAGAGAAATCACTCCTAAATTTCATCTGGAACCATAAGAGACCTAGAATAGCAAAGGTAATTCTAAGCTGCAAAGACAAAGCAGGAGGCATCACAATCCCTGACTTGAAGTTATACTACAAAGCAACAGTAGTAAAATCAACATGGTGTTGGAATCAAAACAGAGCCGAAGATCAATGGAATAGATTAGAAGATACAATCACAACTACAAACACACTCAACCACCTTATCTTTGATAAAGGAGCCAAGCAGGTTCACTGGAAGTATGACAGTCTCTTTAATAAATGGTGCTGGAAAAACTGGCTCTCCATTTGCCAAAAACTAAAGCTAGACCCATGTCTATCACCATGTACTAAATTAAAATTTAAATGGGTCAAAGATCTGAATATTAAAAGAGAAACACTAAATCTATTGGAAGACAAATTGGGTAGAAACCTTGAAGACATAGTAGTAGGTAGAGAATTCATGAACAGTACTGAAACCACACGGGAAATACTTCCCAGAATCAATAACTGGGACCACTTCTTATTAAAAAGATTCTGCATGTCAAAAGAAATCTCCAGTATAGTGAAAAGAAAACCCACAAACTGGGAAAAGATTTTAGTGAACTCTCTCTCATACAAGGGACTTTTGTCTAAAATATATAAAGAACTAAAAAAACTCAGACCCCCAAAATTCAAAGATCCAATCCAAAAATGGGCATCTGAGATTAATACACACTTCTCAGATGAAGAAATGCAAATGGAAAATAAATACATGATGAAATGTTCATCATCACTGGTCATTAGAGAAATGCAAATTAAAACCACACTGAGATACCATCTCACTCGTGAAAGAATGGCCAGGATCAAGAAAACCAACAACAACAAATGCTGGAGAGGCTGTGGGGAAAAAGGAACTCTTCTGCACTGTTGGTGGGAGTGTAGACTGGTGCAACCTTTGTGGAGGTCAGTCTGGAGATTTCTCACAAAGCTCGGACTGGAAGTCCCATTTATTCCATCTATTCCACTTCTAGGCATATTCCCAGAAGAACTGAAAACATCATACCACAGTGATATGTACGCACCTATGTTTATAGCAGCACAATTTGTAATCGCCAGATCTTGGAAACAACCCAAGTGTCCATCAACTGAGGAATGGATAAAAAAGTAGTGGTATTTCTATACAATGGAGTATTATTCAGCTATAAAGAAGGATCCCATTGAGATATTTATCAATAAATGGGCACAGCTTGATACCATACTCATAAGTGAAATAAATCAATCTCGCATGTGTGAATACTGAATAGTTTTCCTAATGTAAGTAATGATTCAAATATATAAAAATATGTGGTAATCATGATTCCCCATTAGGTGGCCTTGAAGCCTTATAAAGTTTTCCCTTATTAATTGGAAAGGCTTTATTCTGGGCTTCTTGATATGGAAATATTTGAAGCTATAGTATACGAAGTTTTATTCAAATATTTCAAGGAAAAAGACAGACACTATGGTAGCTACTATTAATTCGGGTTATTTGGTGGTGAAGCACTAGGTTGCTGAAACCGTCATGCTTTGACCTGCATTGTTGTATTGTTATGTCCTGTTTTATCCCAATCTCTCCCTTATTCTTTAAAAAAATTATTTAGTTATTTCTTATGCTTGTTTTAATTAAGGGGAAAATTTTTAAAAATTAGCAGGATATATAATAGTAACTTTTTTTGATTTCCTATTGACTTGTTTTGAAGTCCTGTAATACTCCTACGATCTTGTTTTGACTGATTAGACTCTGTTCCATTCTGTATGATAGTATCAAGTTTGAGGGTATAGGCAACTACTTTGAAGGCAATAAGATTCACTAAGATGTCCATTCTAGTTCGACTATTGTCTTCTTTGGAAGTCCTGTAATGTTTACAATGCTTAAGTTTTATTGGTCTTGTTCTCTACTGTTTTGTTCAACTTTATAATATCTAATGAGATAGACAATTCTTTTTAAGGAAACAAGAGACATTGTTGATAACCACTGTTGATTACCTTGTACTCTGTTTTACATCATGTGCTATGTCTATCCTTGGTTTTGACTGACAGCTTTGTTTTGCCATATTTGACTTTATTCTCCCCCCCCAAAAAAGTAATAAGAACTAAGGAGTAATAAAACCCAAAATGTGTAAATTTTGTTGTAAAAAAGAGAGGGAAAAAAAGAGCTCTAAAGGATACAACAGCAAGTGTGTTTAGGGGTGTTAAATAGCTGACCATATTAATGTTTTTGGTTGGATCATTGAACACAACTGTTTGCAGTCTCACTGTTTGAATGTCCACTTTGTATGCTTTGATACTGTGATTTGAGCAACTATCTCTAAGATGATAATGTGTAATCTATTAACTGGTGATTTCTTACTGTTTTTTTCTGTAGTTCTGTATTACTTGTACTCTTACACCACTTTGTTTTGTTTTGTGTTTTTCTCTTTTTCCTTTTAAATAAAATAAAAAAAAAAAGAATCCTTCTGACTAGGATTGGAAGTTCCATTCAATACAGCTATTCCCCTATTGAGTATTTTCCCAGAAAAACTGAAAAGTTCATGACACAGTGACATATGTGCACCAACAAATAGTATGGAGGAGTTCCTTTTTCCCCACAGCCTCTCCAGCATTTGTTGTTGGTGGTTTTCTTGATCCTGGCCATTCTTTCTGGAGTGAGATGGTATCTCAGTGTGGTTTTAATTTGCATTTCTCTAATGACTCATGATGCTGAACATTTTTTCATGTATTTATTTGTCACTTGTATTTCTTCATCTGAGAACTGTGTATTCATCTCACATGCTCATTTTTAGATTAAGTCTTTGAATTTCAGGGGTCTGACTTTTAAAAAATTATATGTTCTAAAAAAATTAAAAAATTAAAAACTAAAAAAATTTAAAAAATTATATGTTCTTTTGTCTGAGCGACAGTTCACTAAGAGTTTCTCAAAATTCATGTTTTTTTTTTTACTCTGGTTGAGATTTCTTTTGACACACAAAATCTTTTTAATAAGATGAGATCCCAGTTATCAATTCTGGGAAGTATTTCAATGTGGTTTTATTTTTGTTCATGAATTCTGTACCTACCCCTATGTAATGATGAAGATTTCTACCTACCTTGTCTTCCAGCACATTTAGTGTTTCTGTTATAATATTTAGACCTTTGATCCACTTTGACTTTAGTTTAATTCATGGTGATAGGCATGGTTCTAGTTTTAGTTTTGGCACATGGAGAGCCAGTTTTTCCAGCACCATTTATTAAAGAGACTATCTGTCTTCCAGTGAATGCATTTGGCTCCTTTATCAAAGATAAGTTGTCTGAGTGTGTTTGTAGTTGTAGTTGTAGTTGTATTTTCCAGTCTATTCCTTTGATCTTCAGGTCTGTTTTCATTCCAGTACTATGTCAATTTTATTACCACTAGTAGCTTTGTAGTATAACTTCAAGTCAGGGATTGTGATGCCTCCTGCCTTGCTTTTGTTGCTCAGAACTGCGTTTGCTATTCTAGGTCTCTTCTGGTTCCAGATGAATTTTAGGAATGATTTCTCCAGATCTGTGAGTTATGCTAGTGGTATTTAAAAATTTTTTTTATTTAAAGAAAAAAAAAAACAGGAAAAGGGTAGAAATAATACATAATTTCAAAAAAAAACAGTAAGAAATCACTAGTTTGATAATTACATATTGTCCTCTTAGAAATAGTTGTTTAAGTTACAAAAGTGAAGCAGTGAGTTTTTTGTTTGCATACAGAAACGCTATTGATTTTTTTAGCGTTGTCTTTGTATCCAGCTATACTGCTGAATTTGTTTATTTCCTCTAGTGTCGATGTCGCTCCCGGCCGGCAGGAAAGACACATGACAAGGTCTGGCGGTGGTCAGGCTTTTCTTTATTCTCTCCTTATACAGTCTGCCCCGAAGCCTCTACCGGTCCGCTCTCCGCGGCTCCTTTCGTGCTTCAGTCTCTCTCTCGGGGGTGGAGGCACTGGCTATATATAGGATTAATAGCTAGGCAGACTACCCTGTGAGGCGGGAACTTAGTGGGGTGATAAGAAACAGGTGCCACACAGGCGGGCTCGATGAGAGGGGTAATCTAGCTCAGGCTTTTGTACTTTCCCACAGGCCTCGCAATCACCGCGTCTGATGACTTGACAGTGCCACGGCTCCCAACATCTCCCCCTATTTTATTTTAAATGATGGCTACGCGCATCGCAGCCCGTCCTGGATAGAGTGCAGAGGCCTATGCCCCGAACTGAGGCCCACCGTAGGCCCTTAGCGTAGACCCTGGTCGGCCGTCCCAGGGTCCACCAAGGCCTTGAGGCCCTCGTCCTTTTTTCTAGGGCCAGGAATGAACCGGACGGAAGCTGGTTGCACATAGGCATGCACTCATTTCTCTCCACGAATCCCCTCAGAGAGAAATTTATCTAACAATCCAGCGGCTTTCGAGCGGAACGGGGTAGGGCCTGGCTTAGGTTGAGTCGTGCTGGGGAGGCACGCTCTTACCCGTCATTGACTCACCCACCCTGCTACATGTTGTTGTCTAGGGAGGAGAATGTGGGAAGCCTGTCACTTTTAAATGCGGTCGTAGGCCATGCGAGCGAGCCATGCGTATACAAGGGTAGCACATAGGGGAGCAAGCCGTTCCAGGCCCCCAAAAAGGGATTGTCCTGCAGTTCTTTTAGGGCTCATCTTGTTGTTGGGTCTGCGGTTGGCCTCTGGTGGAACAGGCCTGATCTTCAGTCGAGGGACTTGTCGCGTCAACCTCTCTGGGACCCACATTGGCTCTCGTCCCGATTCCTGCGGAAAGACACAAACCATGCCTCGGCTTCCTCTTTTGTATCTCTGCCCTCCTTGACGGACCCTTCTCGGGAGCTTCCTCACTGTGCCTGTTCAAACACCTCGCGTACTTCTACAAGTTCTTGAGAGCTCCCCCCGTAACTACCCTCACTCTTTAGGCACGTGTGTATCATTTCCCACAATGGACGAGCAGAGACTGAAGCTCTACCCTCCCGTTCTGCTAGGGAAAGGTCTCTACCCAACTTTTCCCAGGAGGGCAGGTTTACATGCCCTGTAGGCAGAAACCAGGGAGCAAAGCTGTCAATCTCTGCAAGGAAATTTTCTAAAGTCTTACGCCCCACCTTGAGGTCCTTGGACTTTAGGAGTCTCCGAAGGACCAACACCAAGGCTGTGTATCTTTACTTGGCATGTTTCCCATTTTTAATATATCTTCTGTTATTTTTACTTCTATGTTTATGTTTTACACTCTTTTATTACCTTAAGTTCTGGTGTTATGTTTCATACTCACCGCGTGAGGCCCAAGAAACCCGCCACTTACGCGTGAGGTTGAGAGGAGTCTACAAACCCTGTAGGTGCGCGCCACCCAGGGCCCAGGCTTATCCTCTACTCACCTGTCCTGCAGCTGCAGCACTGTGTAGGAGAATGCAGTCCACCGCCGTGTCTCGGGGTTGATCAATCCCCGTGCGGGCCACCAAATGTCGATGTCGCTCCCGGCCGGCAGGAAAGACACACGACAAGGTCTGGCGGTGGTCAGGCTTTTCTTTATTCTCTCCTTATACAGTCTGCCCCGAAGCCTCTACCGGTCCGCTCTCCGCGGCTCCTTTCGTGCTTCAGTCTCTCTCTCGGGGGTGGAGGCACTGGCTATATATAGGATTAATAGCTAGGCAGACTACCCTGTGAGGCGGGAACTTAGTGGGGTGATAAGAAACAGGTGCCACACAGGCGGGCTCGATGAGAGGGGTAATCTAGCTCAGGCTTTTGTACTTTCCCACAGGCCTCGCAATCACCGCGTCTGATGACTTGACAGTGCCACGGCTCCCAACACTCTAGTAGTCTTTTAATGGAGTTTTTGGATCCTCTATATAGAGTATCATGTCATATGCAAATAGTGATAATTTAACTTCTTCTTTTCCTATCTTTATTCCTTTTATTTCTCTCTTGTCTGATTGCTCTGGCTAGTGTTTCCAGAACTATATTGAATAGGAGTGATGATAGTGATATCCTTGTCTTGTTCCTGATTTAAAGTGAAAGCTATCAGTTTTTATCCATTTACTATAATGTTGGCTGCTGGTTTGTCAATGATGATCTTTATAAAATTGAGGTAGACACTGTATTCCGAGTTTCTGAAGCTTCTTTTTTTTTATCATGAGCAAGCTTTTCCTGCATCTATTGAGACAACATTTGGTTTCTGTTTTCAACTCTTTTGATGTGGCATATTACATTTATTGATTTGTGTATGTTAAACCATCCCTGCATTCCTGGAATGGGATTCCCACTTGGTCGTGATTGATAATGTTCTTGATGATTTGTTGAAGCCTACTTGTCAGTATTTTATTGAGAATCTTGCATCAGTGTTCATTAGTGAAATTGGCCTATTGTTCTCCTTTTTGGTTGGGTGTTTCCCTGGTTTTGGTATCAGAGTAATACTTTCCTCCAGGAATGATTTAGGGAGTATTGCTTCATTTTCAATTTCATTGAAGAGTTTAAGGAGTATTGGCATCAAATCTTCTCTAAAATTCTTATAGAATTCAGCTGTGAATCCATCAGGACCTGGGCTTTTCTTTGTTGGTAAGTTTTTACATACATTTTCAATTTAAATAGCTGATATTGGGTTATTCAAAATTGCTATATCTTCTTGGTTGAGCTTTGGTAGTTTATATATTTCTAGAAATCTGTCCATTTCCTCTATGTTTTCCACTCTATGCGAGTAGAGATTTTCAAAGAAGATATACATAATCTTTTGAATTTCCATGGGCTCTGTAATAATTTCTCTCTTTTCAGTCTTTACAGCATGAATTTGGGATTTTTCTTTTTTTGTCTTGATGATATTAGCTAGAGATTTGCAATTTTGTTTATTCTCTCAAAAAACACCTTTTTGATTCAGTAATTCTTTGTACTTTTTTTTTAGTTTTAGTTGCATTAATTTCTGCTCTGATCTTTACAATTTCCTCTCTTCTGATAGCTTTGGGTTTTTCTTGTTCTTGTTTTTCTAGAAGCTTGAGAGGAAGCATTTGGCTGTTTATTTGTGCTTTTTGTGTTTTTTTTTTTTTTTTTTTTTTTTTTTTTTTTTTTGTACTGGCGATCGAACTCATGACCTCATGCTTGCCAGGCAGGCACTTATACCATTAAGCTAAATCTCCAGTTCACATTCTGTTTTCTTGATATGACAATTTATTACTTATAGCAATAAATATTTCCCTCTTAAGACCACAGATTCCAGTATGTTGTTTCTGCATTTTCACTGAATTGTATGTATTGCTTTATTTCTTCCTTAATTTCATCTGTGGCTCACTGATTGTTCAAATAATTGCTACTCAATTTCCATGTATTTATGCAGGTTTTACAACTTCTTTTGCCATTAATGTTCAATTTCAATGTGCTATGGTGAGACATTATGCATGGGATAATTTAAATACCTTTGCAGTTACTTAAGAATGTTTTAAGCAATAATATATGGTCTATTTTGGAGACTGTCCTATGTGCACTTGAGAAGAATGTGTATTTTGATGTGTTTGGATGGAACACATTGTGAACATGTACCAAGTCCAACTGCTTGCAGGTATGATTCAGTTCTATTATTTCTTTGCTGACTTTTTGTCTAGTTGATCTGTCTCTTTGTGACAATGCAGTGTTAAAGTCCCCTGTTATAATTGTGTTCTTGTGTATTTGGTTTTTCATGTCTATTAGTATCTATCTTATATAGTTGGGTGCTCCTGTATTTGATGCATATGTATTTAAAATTTTTTTGTTCTTCCTCTTGAGTTTTTCCACTGACGAGTATGTAGTGCTCTTTTTAAAAAATCTCTTTTAGTCATTTTAGGTTTCAAGTTGACATTGTCTGCCAATAGGATAGTTACCCCTGCTTTTTTCTGGGTTCTTGTTGCATGGAATACTGTTTTCCATCGTTTGACTTTTAATCTATGAGTTTCATTTTGGGTTAGATGTATTTCTTGTATACAGCATATTGTGGGATCCTGTTTTTTATCCATTCTGTCAATCTATTTCTTTTGATAGGTGAATTGAGGTCATTTACATTTATGGGCATCACTGATATTTACTGGCTCGACTTTGCCATGTTATGTTCCAGTTGTTTGCTTTTTGCTTTAGCCCCCTTGTTTAATTGCTTGTCCTACCTGGTAGTATCTTTCTGTCATTGTTCTGTGGATCATGGTCATTTTTATCTCTATCTAGTATGTCATTCAATACTCTTTCTAGGATCGGTTTGGTGAACATGAATTTCTTCAGTTGTTCTTTGTCATGGAAGTATCTTGTTTCTGTATTGAATTTGAATGCAAGTTTTGCTGCGTACATCAGTCTGGGTTGAAAGTCGTTTTCTTTCAGGGCTTGAAATACCTTACTCCATGCTCATCTTGACTTGAGGGTTTGTGCTGAAATGTCTGCTGTGATTTTAATGGGCTTTCCTTGATAAGTGAATTGTGCCTTTTCTCTAACAGCTTTTAGTGATCTGTTTTTATGTTGTACGTTTGGGATTCTAATTATTATATGTCTGGGTATAGATTTATGTTGGTTGTGACTGGCATTCTATATGCCCCACTTATCTGCGTATCAGATTTTTTCTCCATGTTTGGGAAATTTTCTGCTATTCTGTGAATATTTTAGGTATGTCATTTTCAATAACTCCTGCATCTTTACTGATGCCTATTTATCTTATATTGTTGCTCTTGGCATCATCTTGAAGCTGGTGGATTGTCATTTCATGCTGCTTTATTATTTCTCAAAGTTTTATCCATTCATAATAGCTAATTGCGATCCTGTCCTCCAGATACAAAATTCTATCCATAGCTTCATTTAAATAGTTTTGCCAGCCCTGAATAGAATTTTTTTTTGTTTCTTGGATGTCTTATTGTGTTTGTTTCATGCATTCTTCTTGTTTTATATATTGTTCATTCAAGGTTTCAATCAGTTTCTCATGCTTCTGTACTTTTTTAAAAAATCGATTTCTTCTCTAGCTGTGTTGAGCAACTCCTTTACTAAGGTTGTTATTTCTGTCCTTACATGAGAGATTACTTCTAACCTGATTTCCTTTATAGCCTCATGGATTTGTTTTTTTTTTTTTTATTTCACTGGCTATCTTTTCAAAGATTTCCGTGTATTACTTTTGAAGTCCTCTATTTCAATGTCTCCTGTACTTGCTCCTGGTGTGCTAGATGTTTGAAGTTGCATTTTGCTTTTTTGTTTTGCCATTTTCCCCTTTTGAGTTAATATTTGTTCCTTAAATCCCACTAGTGTCAACTGTTGGTAGTGTGTATCTTGGGGTCCTAATATAAGGTTGATGTTTGTCCAATTGCTGGTTCCCTCAATGAAGAGGTGGGCCTGTCACCTGAATTCCTCCTGCAGGGCCTGTTGAGTGAGTCCTTTATTCTTCCTGGGCTGACAAGCCTAGTAGTATTGAGGTAGGTCAGCTTTTAGTTCCTGGTAATACTTTATCTTCAGCTTATTCCAGGTCACCAAATCTCCCTGTCTATAGTGTTTGTGTCGGTGGAGGCCCTACCGTGTCCCTATTGTGTGCCTGTGTGTCTCCTGAGCCCTTTTTATTTTTCTACAAGTTGGGAGAGTCCTTATTGGAACACTCCTCACCGTGCCTGATGTTTTCTGTGTGCAGGAAGGGGTCAGCCACACTCGTCAGACTCACCAAGGTCTTACAGTTAGTTGGAGGGAGACTTACTACGGGCCCTATTTATCCACTCTACAACTCTATTTTAGGGGCATATTTACCACATGGACTGGAACCTGCTGAGATCTTCTGTTTGGGTGAGACAGTCACTGAATTTCCCTTGAAGCCAACACAGTTAATCTGCTATATTACAAGGTTCTGGGAGAAAGGGTGGGAGCTGCAGATCAATAGCAGTATTAGGTCCAGGAGCTAGGTCCAGATGTCCTGGGTCTGGGCACTTGCTGGGTGCGAGCCAAGGTCCTAGGGCAGTGTGGTGTTCCTCAGTGCTAACTGAAGTGCATGAAGTGGGTGGCTGTGTGGGCCAAGGTCCGAAGGCAGCACACATTCCCCAGGGTCAGGGCTGGCAGGGGTCATGCAGGAAGCTCTCAGCAGCTGGGGCCAAGGTCCCAGGGCAGCATGGCATTCCTCAGATGCTGGCAGGGTGGCACCTATTTCCAGGTTGTGAGTGATGTTTCAAAGCTTCCTTGGTGCACTTGGAATCACCTGGTCCACTTTTGGCTCCCAGGGAGACTGCTGGCAACTGCTTGCCACTTGGAGCTCACTGCGTGTGGGCCAGTTGGGCCCATGGGGACACTGTGTGTCCTCTGATGATTTCAGATACGGGGCGTGGTCTTACTACCTAGGAGCAAAGTTACAAGTTTTCCCTGTGAGCTGAAATTCAACCTGCGCCCCTGGTAGGTTCCACGACTGGATTCCGGGCCCTGCTTGCAGATTTGCTAGTGGTATTTTGATAGGGATTACATCAAATCTGTATAAAAATTTTGGGATAATGGTCATTTTCATAATATTTGTTCTTCCTATCCATGAACAAGGAACATCTTAACATTTTCTGAAATCCTCTTTAATTTCTTTTTTAGGGTATTATAATTTTCCCTGAATAGATCTTTTATATATTTTGTTAGATTGATTCTTAAGTATTTCATTTTTTTGAAAATGCTACTGTGAAGGGTGTTGCTTCTCTTACTTCTCTCTCAGTGAGTTTATTGTTTGTGTACAGGAATGCTATTGATTTTTGAATGTTGACTTTGCATCCAGCTACCTTACTGAATTTATTTATTATACTTATGAGTCTTTCAATGGAGTTTTTGGGGGTCTTCTATGTAGAGTATAATGTCATCTG